CATCAAAAACTAATAATATAATGTATGGTGATTAACATAACATAATAAAAAAAAAATAGGGAAGAAGCAGAAATAGATGGAAGTATAGATTAGACCAGCTGGTCTAGATGAATGGGTTATTGGTACATGGGGGATTTTTTAAAAGTAGTATTTGTTGTTTTAAATATAATAACAACAACAATAATAATAAAGTCCCAAGGTAATTTTAAGTACAGCTCTATACTGAAAGCTATACACTATGGAATCTCACAAAGAAACAGATTTATAAGAAATTCAGTGAAGTTTTCAATCTTCAACCACAGAAAACATTCCCCCCACCCTTAATCAATGGTAAAGCAGATCACCAACACTGAGGGTACAGAACTCAGCTACTCAGTAAACCAGCACTGCAGCTGTAAGAGTTTTGCTATCTACTGTATCAAGGGGCAAAGGGCTTTGATGAAAGCAATTCAGTTTTTACCATTATTTCTTAAGTATGGTATTAAGATTATGTTTTCAAAAATGGTCTTTATATATTTTTTTAAAGATTTTATTTATTTATTTATGTGAGAGAGAGCAAGAGAAAAAGAGCACAAATGGGGGTGGGAGGGTGGGGGAAGGGCTGAGCGAGAGGGAGAAGCAGGCTCCCCCCTGAGCAGGGAGCCTGCCTTGGGACTCAATCCCAGGATCCTGAGATCACGACCTGAGCAGAAGGCAGACGCTTAATCGACTGAGCCACACAGGCTCCCCAAATGGTCTTTATCTTTAAGAGAGAAACGAAATATTTACAGGTGAAATAATGAGTTGCTTCAAAATAACAGTGAAAAGAGGTACAGACAAAATTGTTTATGTGCTGATGATATATGTTGAAGCTGAGTAATGGAGGTAACAAGGGGGATTCATTATATTGTTCTATTTTTGTATGTTGGACATTTTCCACATGAAAAAGTCATTAAAAAAAGAAATAAGAAAAAGAAAACACATGCTGTAGAGTCTAGCTCCAACTCTGCTAACAAACTAGCCTTTCTGGGCTTGGGCAAATCGCTCGGTTTGTGTCTCAGTCTACCAAACAAGAGGGTCATATTTGATGACCATCAAGGTCCCTGTTACCATTTATCAATCTTGGATGGGAATATGCAATGGATACGTACCAGCTGAATTATTACACCAGCTTCTATGCAGCAGACTGAGGTCACTGATGGCAGGCAGAGTATGCAGAACAAACACTCTAAAGCATGCTGACAGAAGAGATAATGTGGCATAGACTTCTGCTTAACAGGGAGAGCAACTGCGATCACCCTGGCTGACACCAGAATCGCATGGCTCCTATGGAAAGGCCTCACAGCCTGTGAGTGATACACTGGTGAGAAGTTCAAAAAGAGTGGTGGACCCATTAGGTACATCTTGTGTGGCAGAGAGCTTAGCACACATCCTATTTTGTGGATATGACAGCTACTCCTTAGCAATCATCCTCAAATGCCAAGGACAATTAGCAATTAGTTTTGACTTCACAACCTATACACCCTGGGCAATGACTCTTCAACATGTGCCATTTCCATCATCAGTAATTAAACTTACAATTCTATAGCACTTCAGTTTACCAATTATACAGTATGGGTAGAACAAGTATTTACAGATAAGAAAATTATGGTTCAGGTTTGGTGTATTACTACAATTCAACACAACTCAAAACCAGCTGTACTGAATGACCCAGTCTGTCTTTTTATCTTTTTTTGTTTTGTCCTTAACAAAATCCACACGAGTGGTCTCTCAACATTTCACTATTTAAAGACTAGGTCCTTCAAACCTTTCCTCTGTGCTAATAGTCTTTTGCTTATTTTGCTACCAATGTTGTCCTTCCTCATAAGATGGGACAAGGAGAGTGAAAATACTGGAAATGTATATTGGCAGATTTTTTTATAGATCCGGTATCATAAACTTCATGGAAAAATAGGTTGCAAGTAAGGAATAAAACTAAAATTATAAAATTCAATGAACATTTATTCAATGACTACTAAAAGCAAGGTACTGGGATGCCTGGGTGGCTCAGTCAGTTAAGTGTCTGCCTTCGGCTCAGGTCATGATCCCAGGTCCTGGGAATGAGCCCCACATCGGGCTCCACACTCAGCGTGGAGTCTGCTTCTCTCCCTCCCTCTGCTCCTCCCCCTGCTCGTGCTTGCTCTCTCTCTCAAATAAATGAAATCTTAAAAAAAAAAAAAAAAAGGCAAGGTACCATGTTAGGTATAATTAATTCAAAAAACCTATAGGCATGGGCCTTGGTATTAAGGAAACTGAAGTTGTTTAGAAGTTAGATATCACTGTTGTTTTGCATCTATTCTCTAACCCCAAATTAGCACAGGTAACTGTTACATAAATACATGATGTACATATGTACAGACACACACACCTATATATATAATTGACCCTTGAACAACATGGGTTTGATTGCACAGGTCCACTTATATGTGGATTTTTTTTGACAGAGAGACACACAGTGAGAGAAGGACCACAAGCAGGGGGAGTGGGAGAGGGAGAAGCAGGCTTCCCGCTGAGCAGGGAGCCTGAAGCAGGGCTCGATCCCAGGACCCCGGGATCATGACCTGAGCCGAAGGCAGACGCTTAACAACTGAGCCACCCAGGAGCCTGCTTTTTTTTAAGATTTTATTTATTTGACAGAGAGAGTGACAGAACAACAGCAAGGGGAGTGGCAGGCAGAGGGAGAGGGAGAAGCAGGCTCCCCCTGAGCAAGGAGCGGGATGTGGGGCCCGATCCCAGGATTCCAGGATCATGACCTGAGCCGAAGGCAAACCCTTAACCGTCAGCCACCAAGGTGCCCCAATTCTTTTTTTAAGTAGGCACCACACCCAGCGTGGAGCCTAACATGGGGCTCGAATTCATGATTCTGAGATCAAGACCTGGATGCTTAACCAACTGAGCCACCCAGGTCCCCTATATGTGGGTTTTTAAAAATCAATATAATACATTACTATAAATGTATTTTCTCTTCCTTATGATTTTCTTTTTTTTTTTCTTTTTTAAAGATTTTTATTTATTTATTTGACAGAGAGAGACACAGTGAGAGAGGGAACACAAGCAGGGGGAGTGGAAAAGGGAGAGGCAGGCTTCCCGCTGAGCAGGGAGCCCGATGCAGGGCTCGATCCCAGGACCCTGGGATCATGACCTGAGCTGAAGGCAGACGCTTAACTGACTGAGTCACCCAGGTGCCCCCCTTATGATTTTCTTAATAACATTTTCTTTTCTCTATCTTATCTTATTGTAAGAGTACAGTATATAATACATATGACATACAAAATATATGCTGACTGTTTATGTTATTGGTAAGGCTTCTGGTCAACAGCAGACTATTAGTAGTTATGTTTTGGGGGAGTCAAAAGTTATGTGTGGATTTTCGACTGCACAGAGGTCAGTGCCCCTAGACCCAGTGTTGTGCAAGGGTCAAGTGTGTGTGTATATATATATATATATATATATATATACACACACACACATACATACATACATGTAAACACACACACACATAAGTATATATACATAGAGAGGAGGAGAGCCACGGAGATGCTAACTTGCACAGACTGACACACATCATGTTTATTTCACAGTATCTCTGCCAAATACCTCTAGAGCAATAACATTTCCCCACTCCAGAAATGAGGCTGAATAGAAGATCTCAAAGGTCCTTTTCGGCTTTACCCTCCTAATTCACTGAAAATAGAAGTCCTTCTAAAGTACACTATATTGAAGAGATGAGGATCTAATTTCAAGATTTAATTTCTTATTAGTTGCTAAATCTTTCAGGTCTTCATTTATTGAAGGATATCAAAGTTGCAAAACCAACACATTTCACTTTCAAAGCCTTGGGTTTTATCAACTTAATAAATTATCTGTTTTCAAGTAAAAGCTCTCATAAGAGAGAGAGATCATTTCTGCTTGTTGAGACTGTTCAATAGACTAAACATTTAATTCTCTCTTATAACAAAGAAAGGATTCTTACGTCAAGCACTGATCCAGAGAGATCAGCTCGTTCAAGATTTGCACAGCAGAGATTAGCATGTGCAAGATTGCAGCGGCTTAAATTGGCCATTTTGAAGTTAATGTATCGAAGGTCCAAACGAGAAAGATCAGCACCACTGAAGTTTAAACCCTAAAATTAAAAAAAGACAAATTGTCACAAAATTCAAACCATCTGTTATATTACAGTTAATGACTAGCTAACCCCCAAGCTTCTTAGAAGCAATTGGCAGGTCAGTCCGTTGGAGTTTATTAGAAGACAGGATCAGATAAAACTCAGATATAAAACCAGCATCCTTAATGGGTTCTTAGTAAAAGAACCTCTAAACATAATATTAGAATCCAGCCCGGCTATACTTCATTTATATGCAGAAATTTCTGAAGAGCGATCTCTGTTGGCCATGTACCTACTGATAGGTATTATTTGTATATTTTTCTATATTTTATAAGTATTCAATAATTCAAGGTAGTTTTATTGAAAAGTGAGTACTGAGATTTTTAAAATCTTTAATGTCATAATACGTAAAAGTATCTGCCAGTGACTGGCCATACATAACAAATGTACAAACAATTGACTTTTTATTTTAATTGCTGCAATTCTGATGAACTACTCAAAAACTGCCACATGAAGCATATTAGGTAATAAAAAAGGCCATTACATCTCTTTTTTTTGCAATGCTATCACCCATAATTAAATTCTATCTTGCATGAAAAAGGAATGTAAGGCAAAAAAAAAATTGTAGAAGAATGTAAAGCTTTACTCACAGCTTCGCTAACACAAATAACTCCTGTAAAAGTCTGCTTTAATTACCTGGCAACGCAATTCTGATTTGGTTGGCGTGGCTAGCAGAAATCGGACAAATTCCTTTCGAGATATTGGCGAATGATCCTCTGGTGGTTGAGAATTCTTGAAAAAGATATTAAAAAATTAGTGGAGCATTTTCGGAGACAGCTACAATAATTGTAATACTGGCTAATGTAAAAAGAGGTTTACCTTTATTGCCACCTCCAGGTGTTCAATCAATGAGTCAATACCAAAAAATCTGGCTTCTTCTAACACACCTATCATAATAAAAATGATGTGACTTTTATAGAAAACTATTCATTTTAATATTTATAAAATTCTTTGTTAAATCCTCACAATACAAGTGAAATTCAACAAGCAGGCAATCAATACAGAAGAAAAATAACTCGTGTAGAACATGTATACAGAATATTTTTAAATATTTGTAACACAAAGTTTTTCTAAATAGTTTACATTCAGCAAAAGAAAAACATAGAGAACTAATGAATTAGAATGAAAGCCTTCTATATTTCAAAATTTTCTGACAATCACTTTAAATAGGCCATAAGCAAAAACTCCTAATTGCACAAGTTCCTAAAATAACTGAAATAAATTTGATTGTGAATCTAATATTAAATGACTAGTTCACCTCATCTTAACATTTCATTGACTTCAATGGAGCAGATCTGAATGGGTTTGTCACAATTATCTCTTACTGCATCAGAAAATTATAGAAATGAATAAAAGTAAATTAGTTTCCAAATAAGTCAACAAAATGACTCAGAAACCTCTCTTAAGGAAATTAATTAAAAAAAAAAAAAACGATTTCTAAATGATAAAAGGGATTTTATGTATCATTTGCTTTTCTTGGTAAAAAAAAAAAAATCTGCACCTTCTCCAGATGACTTAGTGTGTATACTGTATTTTCTTACATCTGTTAAACATCTTCATCAGGGTATTTGGGAAGAAATTGGGAATCCATTTTCCTTCAAATGAAGACCTCAGTCATTTAGTTAGCTGAGTTTTTTAACTTGTTAAAAAAAATTCCTAAGGACTCAGAAATTACAAAGAAAGTAAGAGACATAATCTCTTTCTTCGAATAGTTCAAGCTAATAAGGGTAACTAGAGGTAGATATGGGAAGCTCAGCAGTTATCTGGGAAGATTATGACCTTCTCAGGGAAAGCCCAATTCACCTCTAATATTCCAGCTACAAAACAAAGGTCATCTGATGAACAGCACGCTGCTCAGGCAGCTGCTCTGGCACAACACTTTCCAGCCCACGCCAGAGGGGCCTCATCTCTGGATTCCTCTTGAAGGGGCAGCCATATTTCCTATCTGTCCCTGGTAGATGCCCACCATACAAAGGGGTTTCTAGTGGGCTTCACTCTCAGTGTGCCAAGATCTTCTGAGTCAGTCAGAAACCCCCCAAGGAATAGAGTAACGACTTTTTTTTTTTTTTTTTTACTTCTAGGTTCAGAACCAAACCTTAAAAACTTCCGGAAAAGTCTTAGAAATACAAAAGACACCTATGGGAGACAGTTGAGAAACCGAAGTAATATTTAGCATATTTTTCTGTCAGCACAGTAGAAATTAGATTTGAATCTCAGTTCTGCCACTCACTTCCTTTTTTGTCTTAGAGAAGCTACTTATTCTTTCTCTTAATTAAAGTTCCTGTTTACATTTGTGAAATGGAGTATTATCACTTTCTTCACAAAGTTGACATAAGTATTAAAAGAGATATGCATATATATTATTTGGTATAATGCCTGGCACTTGGTAGGTCCTCAATAAATGATCACCTTGATCATTATTAAACTGCATGTTTTCTGACACTTAAGACCATTCTCTTTTTACTGTATCAAACTGGGGTTCAGAAAATTTATGTGAACTTCAAGGAAATAAATACTGAAATGCTAGAAAAGTTTTCAAGTTAGAGAACAATTGGATTGAAGTGAAATTTGCCTACAAGGTATGGAAAGATGACTTAGAGCAGAAAAAAGAAGGGTGCCTGGGTGGCTCAGTCGGTTAAGTGTCTGCCTTCGGCTCAGGTCATGATCTCAGGGTCCTGGGATCGAGCCCCACGTTGGGCTCCCTGCTCAGCAGGGAGTCTGCTTCTCTCCCTCCCTCTGTCCCTCCCCCTGCTTGTGCGCTCTCTCTCTCAAATAAATAAAATCTTGAAAAAAAATCAGAAAAAGGTTTTGAAGACAAATCAAAGCAGAAAAGGAAGACATGATTCACTGGAAAAAGTGAAGGTCATTAATGGCAGAAAAATAATGAAAGCAAGAAAAAAATACATTCACTGATGAAAGCACAAATAAGGAAGAATAAGAAATAAGGTCATGTAAGTAAATAGAGGGGAGGTAAAAAAGTCTGTAGATTATTGTAAAGCATATAATTACTTGGGGCAACCTATAGATATTAATAAAGAGTTTGGATAGATTTTGTACTAATTAGAAGTAGTAATGCTTTATAAAATGAATCCAGTACAGAGCTCTGCTTGCTGAACAACTGAATAAATAAAGCAATGGCCGAGAAACCTGAAAAAGGAGCAAGCATTGCTTGGCAAAGAGCCTGTAGTGCTGAAGTCTGGGAGAGCATGGATATGTATTTCTGATGTTATTTCCTAGGCAGGGAGGATATGAAAGGCTATCCGTGATACAGAGAAAAATTAAACTAGAAAGCATCAAAGAGCCCATAGGATGCCTACGGTGAAGTTTAAATGTCCTCAGAAGAAAAGAGGGGCCGCCAGAGTGTAAGCAAAAGTGATCTAGCTGCTGAAAAGCAAAGGATTGTACAAGAGAGGACCACTGCTTATTTTTCTAATGATAATTTCTGAAGAATGAGTAAAATAAAAATAGGTTATACAGGGTTTTAAGCAACAGTTGGTAGGTAAAAAATAAGAAAGCAACAAGAATTTGTAATGAATAGGTATGAAGTTAGATGAAAGGTCAAATAAGGTCATTTTTTGCAATGGGTAAGCTTTAAAGGCAATACAGACTTTAATACAGCAACAATAAAAGTTACTGAGTGTTGTCTATTATACTCCAGGGATTGTAAGTTAGCCCCTTTGCCCCACCACCAGCCCAGGCTGACTATAATGTGTTTGGCATGTAGTATTTTCAAAATCAGAAGATTTCACATAAAATTTTAGATTTCCAGCTTTTCTTTAAAAATCAAGGCTCTGATACCCTATGCCCACACACCCACATGGCAACAATCTGTGGAAGCTGAGTAGGAATGTGCACTCAAGATCGCCACACACCCCCCACCACTCATCAAGTCAGACCAAATTTAGTTACCTAGAGGCCCATGAGCATTGAATATGCATCTACTGCTTTATAAGGGCTCTGGCTGACATCATCTCCATGATGTGAAAATCCTGTGATGTAGTCAGGGACGAGTATATTTTTAATACTCAGTTTTCAAAGGAGACTCAGAGAGACTTTCCTCAAGTTAATTTTCTAGTAAGCTGTAGGGGCGCCTGGGTGGCTCAGTTGGTTAAGCGACTGCCTTCAGCTCAGGTCATGATTCCGGGGTCCTGGGATCGAGTCCCGCATCGGGCTCCCCGCTCTGCGGGGAGCCTGCTTCTCCCTCTCCC